TGCTTCTTATCTTTTTTCTGATTTTCAAGTCTGGACTCTCTCCTCATCTACATGCCTTGGAAACTTAGAGAAGTAGTTAGGTAGGATATATAATCTGTATAAGGTAAAATGCCAAGGCCCATCTACACATTGCATTTAAGGCGTAATTAGCCAGTTAATCACATCTTAAACTGTGACCCAGCTATAAGTTCAACCAATTAATGAAGGGTTAAAGCAAGCAATAAGCTACAAAATTATTCCACAAAGAATATGTAACTTGCTCTTATGCCATTAACTGAGTGTGTGTCCAGGTGCTCTCTTATGGCTGGGAGCCCCATCAACTGAGGGGCTCCCAGCCACAGGGGTGCACCACCTGCTGCCAGCCCCGCAGCTGACAAGCATCACAGTGGCGGCAGCATTTCTGGCTGTGTGCCTGCTGCCAGCCTCAACAATCAGTGGTGGAGCTTGCAGCAAGGGAAATGTTGTACCCCAGGTGTGGGGCTTCCAGTGGGGGGAGGGGGGGGGCAGCAGGGAGAACACTGCCATTTCTGTGAGCCCCATCAGCTCCCCACAGGAGCCAACTGTGATCCCAGGCTCTCCCTGCATTGGCAATAAGGTGCAATGAGATCTAATGCATGATCCCACAGTTGTGCCTCCTCCCATGGAAATGTGTTATGGCAGGAGGTACGATTATGTGGATCGGACATTAGATCCCACTGTGCCTTTATCTGTGCAAATAGAGGGGCCCCAAGAGATATATGCGCACAGGTGAATGTGTGTGTTTTTAAAGAATTTAGGATATGACCACACTGAGAGCACTTCTACATATACTCCAAGGGTGAGGGTGCAACACTTCAATTAGAGTGGCTCCAAGAGCTGCTCTAATCAAAATGCTGCAGCATCTCACATACCAGCGTCCCCATGCTTTACTCATTCGACGAATTTTAGTTGAAAGCACCCACCACCATTTTGAAGACTAGAGATGCTGATATAAGAGACCTGGGAGGCTGCTAAAGTGCAGAGTCTGCTACAACGGGCTGTAAGTACAGCATGTCGGAGCAGCCTCTGCACTCGTGTACAGGCACCGTAAGATCTTGTGCTTGTTGAAAGCAATGTGCAGGGAGTTTGCCACAAGAGCTTGTAACTTACACACTTTCCTGGCTGATGCGATCACCACAAATAAAGCTACCTTGGTGGAAAAGCATGTTAGAAAGCAGCTTATGATTAGTTTGGTCCAACAGAGTTTCCAGGCTGAAGGAAACTCTAAATCCCAAAAAGGCTATGGATCTCCAATAGGTTGACAGTCTATATCAGGGGTGCTCAACCTCCAGTCTGTGGGCCAAATGCAGTCCATGGAGCCACAGATATCTGGCCTGTGGGGATCTCCAGATAGAGAAATTTGGTGGCAGGAGAGCAGTGGCAATAAATACGGCCACCCTTCGTCACTGCTGAATTCCCAAACCCCAAGCCCCATGCAGCAGGTTCGGGCCATGCCACGCCCCTTCCTACCACCCCAGGCTGGATAGGGCTGAGCCACACCCTCTTTCCCCTGCTCAAGCCCCATTCCCCCACCCCAGGACCAGGCCAATCTGCCTTTCCCCTCCCTGAAGCTGGACCACACCCCCTCCCCCCATAGGGCTGGGGTGGGACTGGGCCATGCTCCCTTCCCCTCTGCTCTGCAGAGGGCTAGGCCATACCCCTGCTCCCTTGTCCCACGGGACCAGGCTGGAGCTGAGCCACACTCCTTTTTCCCCCACAGGGCCATGTTGGAGCCAGGATGCCCCCTGCCTCCCTCAGTGCGGCTTGATGGGGCTCTGCTGCAACCACCTTGTGCTGGATTGGGACCACCATCCGGATCCAGCCCACTGACGGCCCAGGCAACACCCATGCAACCCATTAGCCAAAAACAGTTGAGGGCTACTGTCTAAACAACCCTTTTAAGAATATACGAATAATATGGTTCAAGAATATTCAACTTCTTTAGATGAAGTGTCATCACATCTAATCAAACTTTTAAGGTAGTAATAGAAACTACTAGTACCTCACGATACTACTCCATTGAGGGAAGATGAATTACCTACAACACCTCAGGTACGGGTCTCAACAAGAACTATACTGCAACAGATAGTCCATAGATTATACTTTTCTTCAAGAATCACTCTTAGAATCATAGAAAATTAGGGTTGAAAGGGACCTCAGGAAGTCATCTAGCTCAACACCCTGCCCAAAGCAGGACCATTCCCAATTAGATCATCCCAGCCAAAGCTTTGTCTACCCACATCTTAAAAACTTCCAAGGATGGAGCTTCCGCCACATCTCTAGGTAACCTGTTCCAGTGCTTTACTACCCTTCTAGTCAGAACATTTTTCCTACTATCCAAACTAAACTTCCCTTGCTGCAGTTCGAGACTGTTGCTCCTTGTTCTGTCATCTGCCATCACTGAGAACAGTTTAGCTCCATCCTGTTTCAAACCACCCCTCAAGTAGTTAAAGACTGCTATTAAATCCAGTCTCCCCTTCTCTAGACTAAATAAGCCCAGTTCCCTTAGTCTTTCCTCATAGAAGTCAGGTCTCCCAGCCCCCTCACCATTTTACGCAGTTACATGCCTGGAGTGGCTCAGGCTAGAAGCCGGGGGCGGGGGTGCTAGAGCAGCCCTCCCTTCCCTTCCACATTGCTAAGATAAGGGGGGCGTGGCCAGGCTCCAACAAGCCCTCTGATTAGCCCAGCAGGGAATTGATAACACAGTGTTTATCACCACTAACTCATTGTTTATCACCCCATTAAGAAAACAGAGGGACATTACCAGTAACCTGCTGATTCTTCCTTTGTCCTATCTGTCACAGCATGGACCGTAGCCAGCATGTGGTCTGTTAGCTAATACACAGACACCTCTCAGGAAGGCAGAAGGGAGAGGGAAATTCCTGCTTAGCAGGGAGTGGTGAAGGGTGGGGGTAGCTGCCTGCAGTCTCTGCCAGAACTGTTGTCAGGGAGCAGAGGGGAGGGACCAGCCCTGCTGTGAAACAGAGAGCCCCACCCAGCCAACAGAGCATGCTGGGAGGTGCCTGGTGCTGTAGCCTGGGAGCTGGCTTTGCCTGTGAAGACTGAGGTGAAGGTGGCATTGAGCACTTCAGCCTTTTCTGTATCCTCTGTCACAAGGTTGCTTCCCCCATTCAGGAAAGGACCCACACTTTCCCTGATTCTCCTCTTGCCACCAACATACTTGCAGAAACCCTTCTTGTTACCCTTCATATCCCCTGCTAGCTGCAATTCCAATTGTGCTTTGGCCTTCCTGACTGCATCCAAGCAATGCTCTTATACTCTTTCCTATCTATCTGTCCAAGTTTCTACTTTCATAAGCTTACATTTTTGTGACTTAGTTTACTGAATAGCTCCCTGCTAAACCAAGCTGGTCTTCTGCCATACTTGCCAGTCTGCCTGCACATCGGGATGGTTTGTTTCTGCAGTCTCAGTAAGGCTTCTCTAAAATACAGTCAGCTCTCCCGGGCTACTCTTCCCCTCAGACTGGCTTCCCAGGGGATCCTGCCCATGAGTTCCCTGAGTGAGTCAAAGTCTGCTTTCTTGGGGGTTTTTTGGTTTTTTTGTTTTTAAGTCCAGGGTCCTTATTCTGCTCCTCAGGATCCTTAACTCAATCATCTTGTGGTCACTGCTGCCCAAGCTGCCATCCAATACTACATTCCCTACCAATTCTTCCCTGTTTGTGAGCAGCAGGTCAAGAAGAGCATGGCGTCTAGCTGGCCGCTCCAGCATTTACACCAGGAAGTTGTCCTCAGCACTCTCCAAAAACTTCCTGGATTGCCTGTGCACTGCTGTATTACCCTCCCAGCAGATGTCAGAGTGATTGAAGTCCCCAGTGAGAACCAGGGCATGTGACTGGGAAACTTCTGCTAGCCGTTTGAAGAAAGCCTCATCCACCACTTCCTCCTCATCTGGTGGTCTAGAGCAGGCATCCAGTACAACATCACCCTTATGCTCTCCCAATTAACTTTAACTCAGAGACTTTCAATAGGCCTAACTCTAGTTTCACACTCATGATCCTTCAGGAACCCTTTGCTAAAACGGTCCATAAAAACATTCAGTGCTCCTTGCAGGCAAGAGGACTTGCATGTAATGAAAGGGTTAGCAACCTATGGCCCACTGAGGGTTGATCCAGGATGGGGGAATTGGTTGCACAGAGCTGTGCCTTGCCACCTATCCCTTCTGCAGCACTCCCCTATACTGTGCTGTGTCTATGCTTACCCTCGTTGTAGAGGGATTGGGGATCTGGAGTGAGGGAGGTGCAGATGTGATGGAGCAGATTGAGCGCTGCACTAGATGCACGTATATATATAGACCAGAACAGAAATATGCAATCACTCCAAAAATACTTTTTGTCTCCCCCTACTCACTTAGCATCATGTATCAGAGTTAGGAACCTACTGAAACTGTGGCAGAAGTGCACTGCACAGTGGCTCCTTTAAATTTGCTCATTTTGCCACGTGCCCCCCTCACAACTGTCAGAGATCCTTGGTGCTGATCAGCCAGGAGGCAAAAACTGTGGTTCTAAATATGCCGCAGATTTACCTCCAGGCTGACCAGCACCAAGCAGCAGGGCTGCTGGGGCCCCATAGCCAAGGGCAGGAAGCAAAAACCATGGTGCATTTAAAACCATGTTTTTCACCTCCTGGTTGATCAGTGGCAAGCAGATGGACTGCCAGAGCCCCTCTGACAATCAGGGGCAGGGGAGGAGGGGGCGCACAGCAAAAACGGATTAAGATTAAAGATTTTGGTAGGTCCTTAATCACAGTCAACCATGAATATATATTAACCTCTGTCAGATAAGTATGATTAACAGTTACTGGATGCAAAAGAAAACTGAACTGTACAGCTATCTTTCCAAACACCATGTTAATAATTTCCTGAAGCAGCTGTCTATCACTGGTAGTTGGGAATAGAAAACAACTCACTTGAATCACTCACATAGTAACCAAAATAACAACACAGAATTCTATCAGATTGCTTACCTCTTTTGCACTTTTAATTTTTGCTAGGAACGTGTACAATTCCATTGTTTCAGCAAACAATGCTCGACATACTGCCTGATAGTGGTTTGGTGCCTCTGATCGTGTTGGTAGGTGGGCAGCACACAACTAGGGAGGAAAATGAAAATTGTTAAATATATACACACAGAAATTGCTGCTTGTACTGTTACAGAGATGGGAACTTATGGAACACCATACACTAGTATCTGTATATTTAGGTCAATATATCATTTTCATCTGCTGTACTTATGTTACACAATTCTGTAACATAAAACAGAGAATAGAAGATATAACAGAATAATTACAGCATAAAATTATGATATATGAGGTATTTAATTTTAGGCAGCAGTTGGGATACACATCCTTACTCTTCTACTACCTTTGTATTTGTATAGAAATAATTCTCTGAAAGGAGCTCAGATAAGGAAATAAGGAAATTACTGATGGTCTCTGTTTAGTAGCAGAGGAACTCTTTGCTAGTCCAATAGTAAATGTGTCTATATCCTGTCTTTCCTTTGATAAACTTTCTAGGAGCAAGTATACATGCATACTCAGTCCCATAATCTGCGAGTTATAAATCCAATTTATACTTTACTGACTGTGTAGAACAAACACAGGAACTATTAAAGCTAAATGTTTCTATAACTTGGTGGAATGGCCAGCACTATGCTTCATTAGAACTGGTCAAATTCTGAGTATTTTACTACAACTAATTCTGTTCTATTTGCTCAGTGACTAAACATGTTCTCATCTGACTTGCCTTTTTCCAGTAAACTACAGCTAATGAATTTTAATCCTGTATAGCTTGGTTTTTCAGTATGCCACCAATAGGAATAAGAAAGCAGTATTATCAAAATAATTTACAGTATCACTCCTTAAAACTGCATTAGAGCTTAGAATACAGGATGAAGCTTTGTTTTTGTTCAAGCCATACAAGATACTAACAATAAATCTATTCTTTACTTGTAAGTGTGTGAATTAGAGTCAATTTACATAAAATATTCAGGTAGTTAATGAAATGCAACACTGGCAAGTTCATACATAGGGTGGATATAATTGTGATTCTTGAACAGAAAACGAGAGAGAATTGTTTGGGCTGTGTTACTTTACAACGGAGAATTGAAAAAGTTACATGCTGAAGGACTGATACTTCTGAAAAATCAAGCTATGAGTCATGTTGTAAGGTTGCACTGTGCACAGAAAATGTGTTGGAATTAAAGCAATTTGGTTTAGCATAAACCAAAACAAATAGCCATCTTTATTGAGACATATCATACCTGGTGGGTACTTCCAGGATAGCAATTACATAGGTGCTGTTGCACACACTTATGCTGCCAAATCTAGACATAAGGTACATAAAATAATGAAATGATATACCGAAATCTTAAGCTTCATTTTTAAATCAGAACTTTAGCCTTGTAGTAGTGAAGGTGTTTGAAAGCTGGAACATACTGACACAAAAATCAACAGTCAAGGTAGTTTCAAAATCTCAAACAAAATGAACTCGACAGGGATGATAATTCCTCATCCCTCCCCAAATTTAGCATGATCTAACAACTCTCAGCACAATTTTTCCATCAAAACAACTTCCCAGCTGAAATGGTGCTTTTGTGCAGCTGGACAGTAAGTTGGTTTAGTGATCCTGGCACTTGCCTTTTCTTCCCTTAACACTACAGTTCAAATTTATTCTAATGGAGTGAATGTTCAACCAGTTGACAGGAAGTAATACAAGGGCTATTTGTTCTATTTTTAGGAAACCTACCAAAACATATGTTAAGAAAAACCTGATGTAATGATGGAATAATTCAAGTATTACTAGGTCATCAGAACGTTTCATAACCAAATCAGTAAACATGTTTATTTTCAATCATGATGCAGACTTCTATTTTTTACTGAATCTTTTTAGAAAATAGGTTGATCCAATGCATTCAATTTTTGCTGAGATCGCTAAGAAGATTAGAGTGTTTTCATCCACATTCAGAGTTCACAAAAAAACCCAGACATTATGTAAATATCAGAGCTTTGCTAGCTTCTTTCTTTGGATTCATTCTCTTCTCAATGACTAGGAAATAGTGCACACCAAACCAACTCAGTGTTAACAGAAATCACTTAACAATCAGAGGAGACGAAACAAAATTTTTGGCTCTATTTGAATACATTCCATCAAGAGCTAAACCAAATTACAACAAATATTCACAACCGACTGATCTGTTGGAACTTAGCTGGATACTGCACAGGCCTTCTGCAAATAAATACTTGAAATCTTTACCACAACATTCAATTAGACTGGGATCATATTTCAAAAGAGGGGGGAAAAAGTCATTCTACTTCTGATCATCTTCTGCAGTCTTTATATGAATGCACTATTATTTTCTACAGAATAAAAGGAATTTTTTCCCATAGGACCCAAAGGCAGGTAACTGCATCTTAATGAGTGGGACATACTGTCCTAATCGTGCCCAACCTTCCAGCCCCATGGGCTGGATCCTATGTGGGGTTAGTCTGCAGATATGATCCCACATGCAATCTCAAACCTGCGCACTCCTCCACCAGGGGGGAATCATCAAGTTGAAAGGCCCAGAAGAGCACAGCGGGACCTCCCAGGGAAGTTACAGGTTCTCTGCTAGGTGAGCAGGAGCTCAGTATTTGTTGCCTACTGAGATGCAGTAGGGCTGGATTAGGAGACAGCTTGAGAAGGTGAGATTCTTAGCCAGGAGATGGCAAAGAAGGATAAGAGCAAAGTATCCATTTAGTTCAGAATCCTCAACCTAAATAACCAAAGCTCACAAAAGTAGCTTTAAGGCCTTCTGAAAGCTTTAAGATATCAAACTTTCCTGTGTACTACTGATTTTGCTTTTCCCAGACAGCTACTTCATTTCTACGGTTAGGACTATAGGGCATTTTTACACGTGCAAGCGCCTGACACTGTGATGCTTACAGTTGTGTAAGTGGTGAAATGTGTGTCAGTGCAAAGAAAATGGTGGCGGCGCACTTTTGAACTAAAACACCTCAGAAGTGCTTTAGTTCAAAAGCACACTGCTGCCATTTTCTCCATGCTGATGCGCATTTTGCCACTTACACAACTGCAAGCAGCACAGCGCGGTGCGCATCAGCTCCCATGCAGAGCAGACTGGATTAATTGAGTCTGCTCTGAAGCAGCAGATCTCCGGTACATCCCAGAACTAAAAGGTATAACATATACATATAATAAGATATACATATACACATATAATATGTGTATGTATATCTTAAGACCCCTGCCACCCCCAGTGCTCCTTCCTGCCCATGGCAGGGGGTTGGACTAGATGATCTGTCTAGGTCCCTTCCGACTCATTGATTCTATGATTCTATGATTAAATGCCCCTTATTTTTGTTGTTTGCACACATGTAACAAATCTTCCTCACTGTCCTTGTTTTCTGTGAAATTCTTATAAGGCTTTATATTTTTGGGGAGATTTTGAACAACATTCAAGCTTTTGAGGCAGAATTTCTAATAATCTGCTATAGTTTTTATCACTATGAACCCCAAACCCTTATTATTCCAGTTTAAACAAGATTAAAATTCATTATTTTATTCTTTTTTAAATGGCATTACTAAAGCACATATTTTTACATTATGGATTAAATTCCCAATATAGAAAATTCAAGGCAACAATAAAGCTGACTATTACGATTGAATATTTTATAGCCCTTGTTTAAACAACGGTAAACTGAATTTAAGCAATGCAGAGATCCTTGACTGAATAAATGACATAGACAAACATCATCATGTCATCAGTTTATTTTCAAACTGTCCACCTATATTCTGTTTTCAAAAAGAAAAAAAAAAAAAAGAAGACAGTCGTTTGTCTTTGTCTAGGATGATATAATTAGAAATTGTCCTTGCTTTGAGCAGGGGTGGTTGGACTGAATGATGTCCTGAGGCACTTCTCAACCTTAATTTTCTATAATTATGGGGCTAGGGACAGAATTTACACATAAACCGGGTTAAGTGATCAGAAACTGGTTTAAACTTGTAACAGAACGTAAGTTCAGTGCACATAAACCAGTTGCAAAACGGCCGAAACTGGTTAAACCTGGCTGAAAGTAGTATCAGACCTAACTGATTTAGGCCAAACTGGTTTATGGAACTTCTGTCCCAGGCCCCTTCCAGGTTTAAATTAAATCAGAGTCCCCCAGTGTCCCAGCATGCTTTTTAGCCATGTGCTGTGCTGTGCTGTGCTGTCTGCTCCATAGAGAAGGGCTGGCCGCACCCTTCTCCTCCATAGCCAGAACACTATTACTGTTCCGGCTAGCTGAGAAGGGGTAGGGCACTGCAGCCAGGGTCTGCCTGCATCTGCCAGGCTCCCCTCTGCCCCCACCCCCTCAGTGCTCAAGCAGGGATCCCCCCCCACTTCCCTCTCCCATGGCAGGGACCCCAGTGGCAAGAAATCCAGCCAGCATCTAGCAATGCCCCCCCACCATGCTAGCTAATGCTGAGAGGTGCCTGTGCGTGTGTCTCCAATTTCACAGGAACAGAGGCAGACAGAACAGTGTCAGCTCAGGGCTTTCTGGACCTAACCAGGGCTACAGCCAGGCTGTTGCTTCCTGAGCAAGAAGCCAGTGCCTTGCAAATGGAAATGCACACTGCAGGTAACAAGAACTTGAAACTAATGAGAGAAATGCTTTTGTTTTCTTTTGTAGGGCTTGATAGGCTGATAAGCTTTGTGTTCTGACAAGCTCCCTGCTGACTTGCTTCAGAGCCGTCAAAGTGCAGGCAGCTCAGAGGCAGTTCTGAGAGGCTTTGGTGCCATTCACTTCCTGTCCACAGCTGCAGATAGCATGAAGAAGCAGGGAGAGAGATCCAGTATGATCAACAGATGCATTGCATTCACTCCACACAAGCAGCTCCTCCCCACCTTTGCCTAAGACTGCTAGCTGGGGGCTGGGACCTAACAACACTCCCTATCCCTTGAACTGTGACAGGGGAAAACCTGGCAATGGCTACTTCCCCCACCCCCTCTGGGCACATCCTGGCTCAGGATGTGCAGGCATGGTGGAAGCTTAAATCCCTCCCTAATCATAGTGTCCTGGGGGCCTGGTCTTGCCCCACTTTAGCTCAGCACTAT